GCCTCCCTAACCTGTTCTTCCTCCCACCTATCCCCTCCTCCCACCTCCATCTCCTACCGACCAACCTCATCCCGCCCCCTTGACCTGTCCGTCCTCCCTGGACTGACCTAGCCCCTTCCTAACTCCCCACCTACACTCACCTTTACTGGCCCCATCCCCGCCTCTTCGACCTGTTTGTTTCCTCTCCACCTATCCTCTCCTCTATCCATCTTCTATCCGCCTCCCACTCTCTCCCTATTTATTTCAGAAGCCCCTTCCCCTCCCCCTTTTCTGATGAAGGGTCTAGGCCCGAAACGCCAGCCTCTCTGCTCCTATGATGCTGCTTGGCCTGCTGTGTTCATCCAGCCCTGCACCTTGATGTCTCGGATTCTCCAGCATCTGCAGTTCCTACTATCTCTGTTGTATTATTTGCATGGATTCCAGGCCAGGGAGGCCTGTACCTTTAAGACAGCTAGATGACCTCACAACATTGGGCATTACAGTGCAAAGATGGCCCACCTTGTCTTCAGTCACTCTCTCTGTGTAATGAACATGTCAGTCAGCCATGTGCACATAATGTACAGTAACATCAAAATCACTGAATTCAGATTAGGCTATGGAAGGGTAAACCCACGGAGCGATTTAGGCAATAAAATAGGAATTTTAAGCTTGAAATGTTAGCAGACTAGGAAACAATATAAGGCTGTGAGTACAGGGTGAATTAATGTGATGTTGTAGGGAATAGGTTGTGTGTAAGTCAGTGATATTGTAGCTGTGTAAATAGACAGTGTTGTTAATAAACCTCAAGACATGTGTCTCAACAAGAACCTGACTCTTTGCTGTATAATGAGATAACACAGTGTGGAGCTGGAGGAACACAGCAGCATTTCTGCCCCATTTCCGAAGAAGGGTCCCAACCCGAAACGTCAGCATTGTGTTATCTCTGACTCCAGCATTGGCAGTTCTTACTATGTCTTTGCTGTATAACCTGTGCAAGCTAATGTACAGAAACCACAAAGTACATCATCGATCCTGGCACTTTTAAATGGTGATGATTACACATGTAGTGAATGACAGTGTAATGTGCACTGTTCCCGTAATCTCAAGCAGCCCTCACCGCTGATGCTCCACTGACAATGATGTAACCTGTCTGGTCTCAGTCCGGTTCGCAGCTGTTCACTCAACATGCTTGCTATGCCAGTTTTCTGTTTAAGTTATTTTCTGGGGAATTGCTTACCAGACACTGCCCATTAATGCACATATCCGATGAGTCAGGCCTGCACTTTGTCCCATCTAGAACACGACCAAACATGTAGTAGAAATTCTTCCCTTTGGCAAGGCAGTTGAGGTCACATTGATTGGGAGCTGTTAAACAGAAGAAGAAGAGAACACAGTTCAGGGTTCACGCTCACATAAATCTCTGTAACTACAGCAGTGTGCTAAACCAAACTCAGGAAAATCCCCCGTTCAACAGACAGATCAATGATCCACATGAAGTAACAATTATTCCATGATATTTTTTGAGTTTTGGTACTGAGACGGTTAAAACCAATTGATCAAACATTACTGGGGACCACTCTTCAGTTTTGTGTGTCTCTGCTACTGGTTTAAGGTCATAAGGAAACAGTGTAGGAGAATCAGACCTAAGCAGAGTTCAAAATTCATTATGAGAGATGGAATGCGTGAGAGATGAGCTGTGCTTATCTTTTGCTATTCGTTATGCTCTTCTCACAGGGTCAGGATCCCTCTGGTCATTGCATGTTACAACATTGTAAATGTGTCTGTAAGAAGATTTCCTGTGCTGCAGATTTCTGGCAAAATTGTAAACGTGTTCTTTTCTAATGAGTTTACAATCTTGCTAGAGATAATGGCTAGAGGAAAACTTCACTGGTGCACTTATGATCTATCTGGGGAGTGTGTTGTTGCCCCTAGTGACCCAGCTGTTACTTAGTAAGTGTAAGGTACACAGTCACTAGGCCCAGTTATTCAGTGACCTTCTCCATTTCTCTGAAAACTCCATGCAATAATTTAAGATTTTAATCCATGACTATTAGGAGGATTGGGACTTGCTAACCAATATACATACAGATACATATAGTCATTACTTTTGCAGCAGATTAGGTGTACAACAGTTACACCATTATTAGTTGTGCAAGAGTGTGGGAACAGGAGTAGGTCATTCAACCACTTGAGTCTATTTTGCCTTTGAATTATATCAGAGCTGATCTATATCTTGCATTTTGGTTCCATATCAATACCCTGAGCAAAAGCCTATCATTTCTCAGGTTTAAAATGGTTAATGAGCTAAGATCTGCTTTTGCAAGTTAGAATTCCACACTTTTTCCATCCTTTACATGAAGATGTGCTCTTTTTAACTCATCTCTAGAACTCCAGTTTCAATTTTCATTAATATCTCCCAGTTTTAAGGCCATGTTCCCTTGATCTAGACAACCATGAAGAAATTATTCTCTCTGTCTATCCTAGCAATTAATTCCAAGATCCCAAACCCCTTAGCCAATCATGCCTAACTTCTTACATCCTGGAGTATAAAAGTTGAATTTATGCAATCGCTCTGTTTAATTAACCATTGAAATCCTTGTAACATTCTACTGAATGTGTATTGCATTCCTTCCAAGGCCATTCAATCCTTCCAAACCTTTTGTCATTGTTACTTGTATAAAGGTAAAGTCCCCATAGCCCTCACAGATCGTAGGAGTGCTTTCTCATTAGTGACAGAGGCGATTGGTTAATCTGAGGGTCCCCATGCCTCAGGCAAGGGGAGAGGTTGAGAAGGTGGGACCTTCATGGTAACCTCAGGCGACACAGGAATTGATTCCATACTGTCGGCATCACAAACCAGCTGTCCAGTCAACTCAGCTAACTGATTCGAAGATTGCTGAACAGGAGCTAAGTCAATAATATGTGTACATTAGATTAGATGTACAAGGTTTTGATAAAAATCAGAGTCCCATTATTCTAATAGCATGTAATAAGACCCTATTTGAGAAGCAGAATATTATGGAGATTTACTAATTCTCTTAAACAAGATGAATTGATTCAGGATCTGTTGAATTACTTGCCAGGTTCACATGATGTGAATCCCAGTGATTCCACTGTGCTGTAGCTGGTGAGAATGTTCTGTACTTACCCCCATAGAATGGTAGCCACTGGTGGTTCATCAAATTGCCCTGGATTGGCTTGTTGTTGTAGAGTGAACATTGCATCTTTCGGAAATCAACAGATCCTGGAGGACAGTCCTGTGAGAATTGTCAAATTACTGTTTTGATTATTTAGAACTGGAACTTGGACATACAGCCACACAATAAAAACTGCTCTTGTTTTATGCAGGAACCTACCCCACAGCCACTCACAAAGGCGTAATCTGAAACCCAAACTGATCTTGAACCATTGAGGGATATATGAGGAAGTGTGACCAAACGCATCGTTGAAGAGATTGATATTAAGGACATGATATGGAGGTACTGGTGTTGGACTGGGGTCGATAAAGTTAGAGTCACATGACACTAGGTTATAGTCCAACAGGTTTACTTGAAATCACAAGCTTTTGGAGAACATCATTTGTTTCTTGCCCCGTCTCAACACCATTCCCTTTGGCCCTGGAAGACTAACTCCTCTTTTTCTTCATTTACTCATTCACCGGATGTGGGCATCGCTGGCTAGGCCAGCATTTAATGCCCATCTCTAATTGCCCAGACAGCAGTTAAATGGCAACCACATTACTGTGGGTCTGGGGTCACATGTAGGCCAGAGCCCATAAGGATGGCTCTTTTCTTCCTTAAAGGACATTGGTGAACCAGATGGGTTTTTCCAACAATTGACATTGGATTCATGGTCATCATTAGACTCCTAATATCAGATTTTTATTGACCTAAAATTTGAACCTGGGTCCCCAGAACATTACCTGGGTCTCTGGATTAACAGTCCAGCGATAATACTACTAGGCCATCACCTCCCTCTCTGTCATCCATTCTCTTTTGTCTTCTACCCTGTCACAGTCTTTCATCCTGTCCTTGTCCCATTCACCTCCTGCTTATAAAGTGATGACCAAACAAGGATGATGAAAGACCTTTTTCACACAGTGGGTTGTTAGGGTATGAGCTGCACTGCCTGGAAATGTGGTGGAGGCAGGTTCAGCTGAGGCACTGGATGACTTTTCTTGTGCAGGAATATGGGAGCAGGCAGGAGATTGTCACTGAATAATAGAACTGGCACAGGCACAAGGGGGCCAAATGGTCTTCTTTTGCACCATAACAACTCTGAGATTTTGTGATAACCTACTGTACCGCCAACTTGCCCCATTTCTGATGAAAGGTCACTGTGCTGAAATGTTGACTGTTTCTCTCTCCACAGATGATGCCAGCACTTTGAGATGTGCAGGCATTTTCTGTTCCTATTTTAACATGAATGGTTATTGAAGGATGTTTCTGGGATGTCGAAGGGTGAATTCAGAGAGGGATGTAAACAAGAAAATGGGAATTTTAAGCTTGTAATGTTAACAGACTGGAAAACAATGTAGGGCAATGGTGAAACGGTGAAAGAATGGGAGTTAGTGCAGCCTAGAATAAAAACAGTAGAGTCTTTGATAAGCAAAAGGTTCCAGAGAGTTAAAGCTAGAACAGTAATGGAATTATTGAGAATGAGGGTGGCAAAGACATTGGTGAGGGCTTTAGCAGTTAGGCTGGGATAGAGTTGGAGGTAGAATATGTTATAATGGATGTTGGACAACTACAGTAAATCAGGTGGTGTCCTTTTGAAAAGTGTGAACAGCATTCAGTGCTGCAAATGTTCCATATGAAACATACTCACCACAACATTACACACTTTGTACTGCCTCTGATCCCCTGGGCAATCCTCTGTGTTCAAGTACCTGCCAATGCAAAAAACAAACAAACTGAGGACCTTATCGATATCTCAACATGGTTAATGTAAAAGTGCATCTCAAACAAGGAAAGTAAAGTGGTTAAGTGAAGGGCTATGGTAACTGTATCCCAGAACTGGGCAGTTGAAGCCGTGTCCACCAATGATGAAGTGATTAAAACTGGGGATGCTCAAGAGGCCAGAACTCTGATATCTCAGGGCTGGAGGAGATAACTAAAATAGGGAAAGGTAAGGCTATGGAGGGATTTAAGAACATGGATGTGAAAAGATGCCAAGAAAAGAAAAATAAATTCAATTAGAGAATAGAGTCCAAATAACTTCCTTATGTACAGTCTGCTTCTGTTAATCCAGAGACAACTTTCTTGAACGTTGAAGGTTGAGGGTTGATCTAATTTAAAACGATAAAAGGATTTATTAGGATACATATAGAGAAGCTATTTTCTGTGTTGGGAGAATGAAGAACAATGGGGTGCAATCTCAGAATCTGAGGAAGGCCTTTGGGGTGAAATCAGGGAACGGTTTGTTACAGAGAGTATGTGGGTAAAATATAGAATCCTTTCCCGCAAAAAGTTGTGGATGCAGACCATATAATGTTTTATGATGTGACTGCTTGAATTTCCATCTCATAACAACACAAGCTCCCTCAAACTTTTTTTTGTTTAACCTATTTTTCTAACCAACTTGTAGGAGATGTTATTACACACCTCTGGAGCAGGTGGGACTTGAATCCAAGTTTCTCGGTTCAGGGATAGGGACACTATCACTGCGTCACAAGATGACCCTCTGGATCTGCTTTTCTGTTTTGCCTTTTTTCCCAGGGTTAAATAGTGACCTTTATTTTCTTTTCTCCCCAATCACCTGTGGTTATTTATATTTTTATGTTCTGTGAGGCAGAAAGAAATTGTGAATAAACTTTATTATGTCTATTTTTCCACCACCAGGAAAACGCCTGTGTGCCCAATCGTATATTAACAAGCAAAGCCTGTTAAGGGCAAAGCTGAAAATAAAAAAAAAGTGAGGGGTGAGGTAGGAAGAGAAGGACTGGACTAAATCAAAATGGAGTTGGAAGGGCAAATAAGGCACTCCATCCCCTGTGGTGCTCACCTCTCTCTAAAGGCACTGAGAGCATTGATGGACGCCATGTGCTCCCTCTTCAATGACACCTGGTTCAACCTGCCTCATGGCATGGTGGCTCAGTGGTTAGCACTGCTACCTCATACCACAAGGGACCCAGGTTCAATTCCAGCCTCAGGTGACTGTCTGTGTGGAGTTTGCACGTTCACCTCATGTCTATGTGGGTTTCCTCCCACAGTCCAAAGATATGCAGCCTAGGTGGATTGGCCATGCTAAATTGCCTGTAGTGTTCAGGGATGTGAGGGTTATAGGGGGATGGGTCTGGGTGGGATGCTCCGTGGATTTGGAGGGCCTGTTTCCACATTGTAGGGATTTTATTCTTCCAGTCAACCTGTTCAGAGATTTTATTACATACCCTGGAGCAGATGGGACCCAGGCTTCTTGGCCCAGGGCTAGGGACATTATCACTGTGCCACAAGAGCCCCCACTTCTGCTTTTATGTGCTTTGTTTACTACACCACAAGACGGCACACCAACTAATCTTTTTATACACTATTAACCACATCAGTATAAACACTTTGTACATCCAATTGAATGTTTACATACAATGCCTGTTAACGGCATCAACTAGTCTTGTTAATTTTTAAATTTATTTATACATCCTTTCTTCCTTTTTTAAAAGACACTGTTGTGAATAGACTTTATCATGTATATTTTTCCACCGGTGGGAAAACACCTGTGTGCCCCATTATGTAATAACAAGCAAAGCCCGTTAAGGGCAATGCTGACATCGAAAAAAAGTGAGGGGGGTGGTTCAGGGAGGGAAGGTGACTAAACCGAATTGGAGTTGGAGGGGGAGATAAAGCACTCCATGGTGCCCACGTCTCTCTACAGGCATCGAGAACATTGGTAGACACCGTGCACTCCCTCTCCAATAACATCTGGGCTCGACTGCCTCAAACGTTTAAACTTTGGGCTACATTTAAGAAACCTGGGCTCTACCTCTCTCTTGCATGGCAAGCAATTCAAAACGTGAATTTGTAAACCTGTTTCTTTTCTACTTTAATAAACAGTTTTTAGGATCTCAGGATCTGAAACACCTGAAAACTTGTTATTTCGTTGAGTAAGATGACACAGAGGAGTAAAGTAGCTGACAAACAATTGAATAACATTATTATTATTATTGCATTGCTACGTCTTCCTTTGTTGCTGTGTAGGCTGTGAAATTCTTGGTTGCAGCAAGTTGGTGGTGGAAGAATCTGGAGCTGATATAAAGCTCACAAGGACCAAAGATGTGTTTATTCCTACTATGACTCCGATTTACACCTGTTAATTGAACGAAAATATTGGAAATGTTGCAATACGTTGACTTAAACTTCATTATTATTGGTTAAACATCCATGTCCATTTTCTCGCTTGGCTTCAAATTATTGCAGTACACAATTTCTAACATTGGTGGACCCTGCTGTGTAAAAACACCAGTAGTTTTCTAACGATGGGAGTGCACAACTGGAGCTCTGCAAAGCAAACTGAAAGAGGTTGAATATCAGCCTGAATCAGCACCAGTTAAGCCCAGTGCAACACTGAGAACTTTGCACTGGGCAGGCTAACGTTCTCACCACATACCTCAAACACTGCCTGGTCCGGAAGGATGCTCCCCCGCCACACGTACTGGAACAAGCGCTCCAACTGCCCCATGGTGACCACTCATTGGACCAAACCTGACGGCGCTGACGTACTCTGTTCAGCCATTGAGATCTTCTCAGCTTCTGATTCACAGCCTACTTGAGAGAAACACGCATAAATAAAACATCTTAGTAGTTGATCAATACATCCAATGTGAAACTTCCATTACATCAGTGGCCACTCAGCTGCCAGAGTTAATAAGTCCTTTAAAAGTTACAGTCTTGTGCCCGTCAAGGTGATGGTGTGTATTAGCTCAGCCTTCATCTTTTTGCACTCGATATCCACAGCCAGGTGAGGTGGAAAATGAGGAAGGGCAAACCACTGAATCTTACACTGCAGAGAGAGACCATTCAGCCCATTGTGCCTGCTGCTGGCACTTTGAAAGAATTCTTCAATTGGGCCCACTTTGTTGTTCCTTCACACTAAGCTGTAAATATTTCCTTATCAATTTCTTTTAATTATTTCCTCTTCCAGGAAATGGGCAATTGCCCTGAGCCTGGATCTCCTTGATAGAGTCATTCAAAAATGCAAAATTCAAAGGGTTCCGTCTCACTTAATCTTAAGAGTTATCCAGGAAATGTTAGTGGATTAAAAACCTACACTAACTCGGCCCCAAACCCTATTAGGATCATCCACACTGCCCACCACCCAACTGGCACCCTTCAATCTTAACCAAATGACACACACTAACTACTGACCTGCCAACATGTCCCTCAAATACCTCAGTCACTGTCAAAAATAGCTTTGGGAACTTTAAATGATTTAACATCTGAAATACAACAGCGGGTGCTAGAAAATAAAGGATCTGCCTTGGCCCCCAAGACTTCGTTGGGTGGATCTCTCCCTGGTTTTCTTTGATGAACACATTCAGTACAGGGTGGACTCAGAACTCTGACTGGAAAAATCGCTGACAATTAAGTGGGATTCCTGACCATTGAATCTGCTCCAACAGTAATGGGAAAATCTGGACCATTCTCTCTTTATTTACTCTTAGCAAAGTAAAGTGAGTTTGGTAAGATACAGCAAAAAGTCTTGCTTGGCCTTGCAGAGAGAAGTATTCCAAAATGCCCAGTAGATCTCGAAAGAGCCAAACCAAAAGATTCAGGTTCCTTTCTCCGCTCCTTTAAATCAGAACAATCATTTTACTGATTCTGAGCCTAGAGCTGGAGCAATATTCAGCAGCTTTCTTCAATACCCCAGCTGACATCTTCAGATTGTTTCTGAGGAAAATGCCCTGGAACATTTTATTTTGATATTCACAGCATCCAGTGCAAGTACTGAACATCAGGGTACGAGACGCTAAAGTTAACAGCCGAGGTGTCTTTAAAAGAACAAAGAACAACAAAAATTATAGTACAGGAATAGGCCCTTTGGCCCTCCAAGCCTGCACGGACATGCTGCCCGTCACAGCTAATACCCCCTACCCTTCCGGGGACCATATCCCTCTATTCCCATCCTATTCATATATTTGTCAAGACGCCCTTTAAAAGTCACTATACTATCTGCTTCCACTACCACCCCCAGCAGCGAGCTCCAGGCACCCACCACCCATCGCCCAAATTTTGGAAACTCTGTGCAAATGGATATTCATTCAGATGGTTGCATCAAGTTGTAAATGGTTTATTTGAAAAGTATGACTAAAAGTCAAAAGCAGTATAGGGAAGGAAATCTGCCATTCTTACTTTAGTCTGGCCTATATGTGATTGCAGGCAAAAAGCCATGTGGTTGATTCATAGTCACTCAGTTGAAGAGCAGTTATTGACGGGCAACAATTGCTGGCCTTGCTAATGCTGCCCACATCCCACGTAAGATAAAGTATAAAGTCATTTTATTCCAAATGTTCTATTTATTCTCACTATTTTGGAGTGCAGATTACATTGTGTTGACTCTCATGTTGGAGGATGTACCAATTAAAGCAAAATAATCTTTATTTGTTATCAGCAAGATGTGATCCAAGAATTTTTAATGACAGTTCACATGAACACCCAAAACTCCAAATACAGTAAAAACTTGCACTGATAGCACTTTTATTTTCAGCTTCATAATATCCAAAAGCATTTCAGAGGAAAATTATCAGACTAAATTTGACACCAAGCAGATATTAGAACAGGTGCTTGCTCACATAGGTGGGTTTTAAGGAGTATTGTAAAGGAGGAGAGAGAGAGATAGAGGTAGAATGACATGACATTTAGAGAGGGAATTCTAGTGCTCTTGACATGCCTATTTTATTTTTCCTTCTTCCAAGACAGGTGTCCTGAGATGCCACACCTATTTGCTGTGCGGAGAATCTATTGACTGCCCCAGGATTACGATGTGGAGGTGCTGGTGTTGGACTGGGATGGACAAAGTCAAAAATCACACAACACCAGGTTATAGTCCAACAGGTTTATTTAAAATCACAAGCTTTTGGAGTGCTGCTCCTTCGTCAGGTTTGTTACCTGTTGAAGGAATAGTGCTCTGAAAGCTTGTGATTTTAAATAAACCTGTTGGACTACAACCTAGAGTTGTGTGATTTCTGAATTTGTCCACGATTATGAAACCAGCATCTTAAATTCTTGATGCTTGAGGTTATTATGAAATGAGGCTTACAAATACCCTGGTGTTCCCTTATAATATTGTTTTAGCTTTAAGTCATATGTAATGGATCATTAACACTCCACATTACACACTGTGATGTAGTCAGCTGATATCAAGCTTTTAACATCTGTAAAATTAATAAAACATGATACTCAAGCATCCATGAGATCCCCAGGAATAAGGGTGAAATTGAAGTGTACAGATACATGCCATTTCTCAATCGTCCTTCTAACTGCAATCCTTGTGACGTGCACAATCTTTCCCTTATCAGTCAAAATTGTCAATTAATCTTTTCAGTGCTACAGACACGTTTATTCACCCAAGCATAGCTGAGTTACAGAAACCACTTGTTTGACAGACCCTTCAGTGCTTTAGTGCATATTCTTATGTCTCAGATTTGATTTGGTTACATCTACGACGTGTTCACGTTAGCTAAGCCTTTGACCCTAAAAATGAGGTGCAAACCTGATAAAACCACAACACAGGATTATATGTAAGCTTCATAGTGGAGGTAGCATGCAACAGAGTAAAATGATCCCACAACCATTGAACCAGATCAGGAATCCACAGTCCTGTCCTATCCAGTGATGAATGGTGATGGATGATTAAACAAATAACTGGAGGGAGCTCCACAAACATCACCATCCTCAATGATATGTGATCTGTGTACTTAGTGTAAGGCTGAAACATTTCCAGCCATCCTCTGCCAGAAGTGCTAAGTGAATGATCCATCTGGAGGGAGGCAGAAAGCAAGAAACTACAGGCCATTTACCACTGAGCAGAAACTGAATGGAAACAGCCCTGTAAATACAGTGGCTACAACAGCAGGTCAGATACTGGGAATTCAGCAGGAAGTAATAGTTGTGGCAAAATTATAGTTTGTCACTTCCTTTTGGGAGTCCACGACCCCTTGCCATTTCAGGATGTTTGCCAGTCGTCGTACAGAATTTACTAAGTTGTTATAGGGTAAAATAATGAAGCAAGGTAAAGCAACTCCAACTAGATTGCTTTGGACACTTTGGACAGTGAATAAACGCCTTCTCTAAAGGCACAGAAACCGAACAGTCTACATAGGCAGAATGTTCCAAGCATGGCAAAATACATTCTTAAAGTTTCCATTGACCTGGGCAGCTAAAGTTCTAAGGGCGTGCACAGTTAATTGCTATTTACAAACTTATTGATATGTGCAGTAATTGTCAGTTGCGAACATTCTCTATAAGTAACCATACATATGCACAGCATGCCCATTGTGGTTTTATGACATTTTAAGCCCAAACTATATTTTAATACACTCAAGCAATGGACTTTCACTGAATTGAAAACAAAAAATGCTGAAAATCACAAGTGGGTCAGGCAACATCCGTGGAGAGAGAGCAAGTTAATGTTTCAAGTCTAGATGATTCTTCATCAGAGCTCATCAGAGCTGTCTGACCCGCTGTGATTTCCAGCATTTTTTGCTTTCGGTACAGATTCCAGCATCTGCAGTAATTTGCTCTATGACTTTCAGTGAATGTTTTGTCCATGATACAGATACTTCTAGCCAAAGTATGTTATGAAAGGGCAAGCAAATACAAAATGATTAACTGTGTAGTAAATCTTTAATGACATTCTAACAAAATGATGTTATGTGAAACTACTTAAAATGGGACTAAGCTCTACACTCTTTCAATCCAATTGTTTATTGCCTAAGCAAAAAAATCACCCAAACCCTCTCACGTGCTCTCAGAAAAATCCAAGTCATCTTACACTCTCCACCCATGACACTTCTGGCACAGTCACATTGATGCTTTTACAATTGATAACCCTGTTCCTAGCAAATCAATCACCTCTGTCCACCAATATAACTCTGCCTTCGCTCCTCTTTATTAAATAGTGCACTTTCAGCATATAGGGTACACACTGGGTCTAGACATGGGTTCATTCATGGGTCTATACTGGGTCTAGCTCAACCACCTCTTGAATCACCTTTTGTTTTGGGATGTGGGCTTTGCTAACAGACCAACATGTATTGCCTGTCTCTAGTTGCCCTTAAGAAGATGGTGGTAAGCTGCCTTCTTGAACCATTACAGTCCTCGTTACCTACTTCACTCACCTCCGCTAAAACTACCTATCATTAAAGCATCATCCAAACACAAACCCAGGATCCTTTTCTCATGATTTTCCTTCCCTTCCATTTCATTAAACATGAATTGCAAAAAACATAGAAATTTCTTTGTCTCCTTGGGTGATTTAATATATCTAAAGTGACATATATTTGCAAATTTTGATATGAGGAAAAAACTTACTCTTTTTGTTCTCACCTTCATCTATCTGATAACCTAGTCAACGAAGGACAAATGTAGGGATTATCCACTCCTTTGCTAAATTGGTGGCAAAGGTAGACACAGGAATGGAAGGATGAGTCAGACATGGCTCTACCCCACCCTGTTCCTATCAAGCGAGGAGCAGGCCCTGGGCTGACTCCTCCGGCCTGGACTCACAGGCCAGGCTAAGGCTCCAGGCCCGCTGCTAGGCCCGG